CAACAGTAGGAAAATCATCAATAATATTTTGACTGCCTTCAATCACATTTTCACCCTCAAATTCTATCAAGACGTGTAATAATTTTACACATAAATACAAATAATATAATATTAAATATACTAATATAAAAACTTAATAATTACCACAATCCTCATCTGAACTATTCATATTATTTAAAAGGTGTTGAATTTCGTCGTCAGGTAAAAGAGACATAATAACTGATTTATAATATCTAGGTACCTACTCTTATTTATTTCACAAGAAGTAGTACCTAATAACTTACAGTTAACTAATAGTTACTATACCTAAATATGTAATACCTATACCTAACAAAAAATATCAAAAGTAGTTTAGTATACTTAATAATAAACACTGTGATTGTGATGGATTATAGTAAAACAAAATTACCAAAACAAAATAATATAAATAAAGTTATGTGCTTATAACATTCATAATAATAATATTATAGTCGAGTTACGAGCTTTTGATATTTATAATATAGATAAGAGGTTTTGTTTTTGTACGATATCTTATGAGATTGGCGCGAAATATTACTATATTATGATATCAAACTGTGCACAATAATACAGTGCATCCAATAGAAAGAAAAACTTACGAGGTTTTCATCCGTAGCCATCGAATTAGAGATTTATTTTAAATTGATTATTATTTATGTCTAAAATAATTTGTCAGGTTAACATTTAAATAAAAAAAAATAAAAAATGAGATTATGAATTATGTACATTTTTATTTCTATTGATAATTTTGACTAGGTATTACGAATACCGACAAATAACAAATAACAAACTTTTTTTTCCAAGTTATCATATTAATTGAACATTTTGCGTGATTATTTCGATTGATACCTATCTCGATTATGAAAATATATCAATCACCTACAATTCGAAAAATAACTAATACCTATTACTAATAGCAATTGAAAAATTCGAGTGACAACTCGATTATGTCCATCACAATAGATAATAGAGATTTATTTTAAATTGATTTGCCTATATTTTATTTACGCTGTTATTATAATGTATTGTACTACCTAACTACCTATAACATTTGATTTTCAAATAAGTTAAAAAGATAAGGGGTAATTATTGTCCAATATGATGGGCTCCAATTGTAAAGAACTATTTGCTTGATACATATTATGTTAAAATTGACATGCTATTATTTTTGTAAATGTAGTGGCCCTGAAAAGGGCCGTTTTAAACGTTATGGATTGAGGAGCAGTAGAAATTATTTGGAGCTCGTGTACTTGGTGACGGCTTTAGTACCTTCACTTACAGCGTGCTTGGCCAATTCGCCGGGCAACAAGAGTCGGACAGCGGTTTGGATTTCCCGGCTGGTGATGGTCGAACGCTTGTTGTAGTGAGCCAGACGACTGGATTCAGAAGCAATCCGTTCGAAAAGGTCGTTGACGAAGCTGTTCATGATGCTCATTGCCTTTGAGGAAACGCCGGTGTCTGGGTGCACTTGTTTCAACACTTTGTAAATGTAAATGGCGTACGACTCTTTCCTCTTGGGCCTGCGTTTCTTATCGGACTTGGCGATGTTCTTTTGCGCCTTACCTGACTTCTTCATCGCTTTACCGCCTGCGGATTTTCCTCCTGGAGCCATGTCTGGTCTAGATGTAGAAATAAGATGCTAACAACTGAACTGTCGGGACCTGAGTGATATGTGGTCTATACAACTGCGAGTATATATAACCAAACCAAACTTATATGTGATCGTTTATTGGCCAAGAATTTGTAAGTATGACGGACTAAACAGGATTGAACGTTAGTAACGTAACGGTTAAAAAAAATTGTTTCTTCACGAACGAACTACACAAGAATGCCAGTTAAAAACCGCATTGTTTAGTAACAATTACTTGGTAAACGGTGTCAAGTAAACTCGTCTAAACTATCAATTTATCTAATCGCAGAATTGTTATCCAATTATTGGCTATATAATGTGCGACACAATGAATTTTGGCATCAGTCATCACTCGTATTCAGCACTACACAGTCGTTAAACGAAATACCATATTACAATCATGAGCGGACGCGGCAAAGCAGGCAAAAAGGGAGGCAAATCCAAGACCAGGTCGTCCCGTGCCGGACTCCAGTTCCCGGTCGGTCGTATTCATCGTCTGTTGAGAAAAGGAAACTACGCCGAACGTGTCGGAGCAGGAGCACCGGTGTACCTGGCCGCCGTCATGGAGTACTTGGCAGCTGAAGTTTTGGAGTTGGCAGGTAACGCCGCCCGAGAAAACAAGAAATCTCGTATCATCCCCAGACATTTGCAATTGGCAATCAGGAACGATGAGGAATTGAACAAATTGTTGTCCGGAGTAACCATCGCTCAAGGCGGTGTGTTGCCAAACATCCAGGCCGTTCTCTTGCCCAAGAAGACCGAGAAGAAAGCTTAAAAAAACTTTATATCTACCCATCTAAAACGGCCCTTTTCAGGGCCACCATATTTTCATATTATCTGTTAACATTAAACTGTCGAGTGAAGATAGCAGACGGCCTAGTGAGGGCAATTTGTTATCAATTTCTGTTACTGTTACACCAAAAATAACAGTTACTGTTATTGATATTTGATACTGTTAATAAAAAAGAGCTCCATTCCGTGATAACTGATGCTAATATGTTATTATGATACAAATAACAAACTCCAGAAGAAGTCATATTATATGAAAATTGATTTAAAACCAATATCTGTTAAAGTATATCAAGTTAATTTCCCTAAAACATGAAAATTGATTTTTCTGCTATCTGTATTCTGATTACTAAAACCAATATGTGTTTTTAAATTAAATACAACCACCGAATGGTGTTTGTGAGATTTTATATGCAATTGTAAAATAATTAATAAATATAACCTATGCAGATTGTATCCTTTCGGCAGATACTAAAGAATATTGTTATTGTAAATGCGAGTTCATTTTATCTAAAAGCTA